TATTTATTTTTACATTTTTTTTACTGAACACCCCAACCTCTAAATTGAATAAATGTAAATGATTTATTATTAACTCCGTAAATGATTATGTATGTTTTATACGCATCTACAAATCGAACATATAAGTTAATTATAACTCAATCCGGACATAAGAATATTAATAATTAGATATTCTAAATAATCAGCTAAGTATTTTGCATCTACAATTAAATAATAAGTTTATTGAAAATGATTTAGGTTAGTCATATTTTTAATCCGTCAAATTATAAGATGTTGATTATGTATGCAATCTTGTAAAAAAAAATATTCTTCTTGATCCAACATGTTTCTTTCAATTTAGAATAATGGCCTACCTACTAAATAAAAAAGTATTCAAACTTTGTTGAATTATGAAGATTACTTTTGTGGCATAATACACGTATCAGGCCCAATATTTCATTATTCCAGCTTAAAAAGTCTTTAAGCTGTTTCAAAAGTTTCCCTGAGAAGAAGCGAGGGGGGAGTAAACAAGATGGTGGGGGGTCGGGTTGAGCGGAAGTCCTAACGACCTTGTTAACAGAGCCAATCAGGGTTTATAGAGCTCGCTATTGGTCTGTCCTTTCTGTCAGCTCCTCTCTCATTGGCTCATGGCAGCGTTTCCTTTTGTCACTTCTCATTGCTTTCTCGATAAAAATTAAATTAACACTTGAATCTCTTAGTTTCTTATTATTAGTCAATTATTTTCTGTGTCGTAGTTCCTTTGTTGCGTAAATATTGTTTTTTTTTTAAATTTGGCAAATATACAGATAAAATCTAGATTTATTTCAATTGTAAATCTTTATAATTGTCTAAAGAATTTAAAGTTTCAAAACACATTGAGTCTAAATATGAAATTTTCAAAAAATCCGTCTGTCCACCTCATGCCATGTCACAAGTGGTAAGAGTGTGAAGATATGAAAAGAAACCAGGTGTTGAATACTGGAATATAATGAGATAAGGTTATAAGTAGACATAAAATCTATTTTTACCCGACTACGAGAAGTGACACGATCGTTATGTGTTTGGGTTGTCTGCTAAAAGCTAGTTTAACTCTTTTTGTGCGAATGGCTGAATAGATTTTTAAGTTTGGTGGTTCAAATTATTCGGTGAGATCCCCTGAGAATTTTAAAACGATTTGAGATAAAAATACTGGCCTGTTATTGAAAATCTTTTTAATCAATTTGAAAAAAAACCTGTGTAACGGTTTTTTGCTGAATAGATTTCTAAGTTTGATGGCCTAAATTATTAAGTGAGATCCCTTGAGTATTTTAATACGATTTGAGCAAAAAACCACTGACCCACGATTGAATAAAATGTGTTTAATCTATTTTCTAAAAGGTATAAAACGATTTTTCGAGCATACGGCTGGATCGATTTTTTATATCTTAAATCAATTTTTGATGTTCCTTGAGTACTTAGAAAGAATTTAGCTGGAGCTTCCCCCAAAAAGGTAAAATGTAACCGTTTTATGAAAAAAAATATTAAAAAATTATCTCTTAAAGTATATTTGTTAGTGGAATTATATTTAAAAGGACTTAAGAAATCACTTAAACACCATTTTATATAGGTAGTTAGTTTTATTTATTTTTTTCCAAAGTAATTGTCGTTGTTTTTATGAAAAAAAAGCTTTCGGGCTGAAAACCTTCCCTCCCCCCCTCCCAAAATTAAATCCTGGATCCGCAAGTGAAATAATGTAATTGTCTATATAGCTAAATGTAATTATTTTTGTTTAAGTTTAATTTACAAATACAAAAATCCTTCCTATTAGGATGAAAACAATTCTCTCCAAAATGTTAATGTTGCCAGAAAGATGGCTGGTGGAGGAACTTGGCGAAGATTCGCAAATCAGCAGCGACCCATTCAAAGCGAGACGACGTATTCGTTCCTTTTCTTTTTTTAATAGGACTTGATGAAGAAGGAGAAGAGATATAAAGGGCGGGAGAGAAATGGGAGAATGGAAGCGAGGGACGATTTAGAAGAATTAAATGGGCCGCCCATTAAGGCCCGACTCTGCCATGAAAAATTATAAAGGCAATTGAATTAGTTCCTCTCTCTTTTATCAGTTATATCTCTGTCCATCTGCCCCCTTTAGCTATCTAATAGTCACTATTATTCTACATATTCTTCACTATTCAAGTATGTGTGCTTTATATATATATATATATATATATATATATATATATATATATATATATATATATATATATATATATATATATATATATAAATCTTCCTGATTTTATTATATTTTATATTATATGTCCGCGGTATACAGATCCCTTTCAACCAAATTACTGATGTCCGTCAAATTTTTTTTTTTAATGGCTTCTTCATATCGTATTGTACAGCTTTTGTTTTACGAAAATTATCGAAAATGATGCTTAAATGTATTCAATTTAGAGATCGGTAAGCGTTGTCTATTTTATGAAATTCTAAAAACCCATATTGCTCCTTGGCGGTTTCAGTAAAAAACCTTGATTGAAGCTTAACTAACGTATGTGAAAAAAAAATCCTGGATTAAGCATTTATTTTTCCATAATAAAGGAAAAAAATTGATTGATGATTATATATAATAAGAATGGCTAATAAATAATAATAAAGATAGGTTAGAGAGATGACAAACGAAAATGTGACTATCAGTAAGAATGGTCGAACAGCAGCCAATAAACTGACTTCTTATGGTGGTTTCATATATATTGCTATTCTATGAACGCTTCTATTATTTTGTAAAACTGCAAATGGGCAGAAGAACAGTGAATCTGCAGTAAAGCGCTATTAGCCCAGTCAAATTAGCACAACATTAGAAATCTATCTTGCAAAAGGTATATTTTTAGGTATGTATTGAACATTAAAAATCCAAGTTTCTACTCTTAAAAGAGACATGGATTCGCTGCAGTGCTCCAATAAGCATTGAAATTTTAAACTTTGTTTTTTGTTTCGCTAAATATCTTGTTTTTAGATTAAAAAAATGGTTATATTCAATCTTCAACAGCTTAAAATTTTCTAACATTTTTTTTCTAAATTCAAGAGGAAGCGGACTATCGAACTTTGGTAAAATAACATGTCTAGTTTGACTGGACTAAGTAGCAGAAGTTACAAAACTGTAAGTGAGCAGTACAACAATTGGTAACTCTTAACCTCCAGTAAAGGACTGAGGTCGACACTTTATGTTCACGGGCTTAAAACTTAGGACTTGTGTGTATATATATATATATATATATATATATATATATATATATAGGCGAGGCTATAATACACACTACAATTATCGAGCCTATAAATCATGACTAACTATTCATTACGAATTAAAACAGCTGATTACAAGTTTCATTTTTTTTCGTTGTTTTCTTTTTACTTTTACTTACCTATATATGAAATACGTAATAAAGGAAAGTATTGAGATCGTGAAAATCTTCGGATCTCAATTTCCAACGGAAATACACGTTTTAAGGTCCTCTAGGCAGAAATAACCAAGTCTCGCAAAATGATCTGTTTGTGTGTGTATGTTAACAGTCTAGCTCAAAAACTTAAAGTCTTACGAAAGTGAAATTGCATATTTGAGGTTTTCATATGCTAGCTAGGGATTTTACCACAACTTTTTAGTCAAAATCAGCCAATCGGAAGTGGCACTTTATATAATGGACTAAACACATTCTTACGATTTTGATTAAATTCATCATATCTGCTTGAAATTAAGCAATTTTAAATATAATGTAGTTTTATTCTGATTGATGTTCTCAGGGCTTAAATTACTAATTTTCAATATTAGCTAAAGTACCTTTAAGTTTTTTTTATTTGAAACAATTGACCATTTCACATTAATCTCTGATATAGAAGATAGTTAAATATAAAATATGAAATAATTGGATAATTAACTAAAGGAGAAATAAGATATTGTAAAGGAAAATAGTTGTAATTAAGGAATCAAAGAAATACTAGCGCACCCGAGCTCGCCCGAAAGATTAGAACACGCTTCCATACGTAACATGAGCTTAATATAAGGACTATGACAATATTATGTAAATATACATATGTGGTTTTCATAAATTCTATTGTGGGTATTATTTAATATTAAATTGTATAGATTACAGCGTTATAAATATTAAAATTTGTACATATAAGGGTACTTATACAAATAAATATACCCACAATGAAATATAAATAAATATAGCTTCTATAATTTTTATTTTTACTTCCCTTTGTCTGAAAATAATTATATATGCTAAGAGGGTGGTAAGTGAAAGTTGTGTGACGCACCACACCAGATTTTTTTAATGTGGTCACGGTTTTAAATTTAATATTGAAGATAAATAAATTCTAAGTACGCCATCGTAAAATAAACAAATTGAAAACAGTGATTAAATTCACTAAGGTCAACGACTTTGAGAAGGTCTAATAACGCAAAGCCTACATTAAATTATAAACACGGATCGGGATTACAGAGATATGTTGCTGGCGTATGAGTACAGCAGTACAGCAGTAGTATTAGACCTCCTATAGTAGTATTAGAAGTCCCTTGTATTATCAACCTGAGTAAATTTAATCAATGTTTTCTCTAAAACAAATTTTGTAATTTACGTTGGTGTACTTAGAATTTAGTTATCTTGAACAGTTTTTTGAGCAATTCCTTCTTATTCAATAAGAATCGTGACCACCTAAAAAAAAATAAAATAATAATAACACAAAATTGTTTTTAACTTCTTTTCTTTTCGGAATCGTCCCATGTATTAAATGAACTTTTTTGTTGGAAATTTCGTCTGGTTATTTAATACTCAAAAGTCATAAAATTTAAAAATAATTTTTTCTTCTGAAACAATATACTTAAAGTAAAAAATAATTTATCTTTGTTGTATGTTTATTATTATTATCAAACTAGTTTACCATAACTGTTGTTCAATAGTTTGTAACAAACGAGAGTTATAAATTATAGGACTCGTGCTGCACATGAAAATAGTCGGCCATTCCAGGACTAGTTGTGCCTAATGCACTATCGGATCTCCGAGGCATCGCACGTCCGACACGGAGGTCACACAGGACTCCGCAACAATATGCCTATCCATGCCACACAGAATAATTTCTCTACCGACTCCTACTGAATATCGATATGTACACATATCGATGTATTATTTAGGTCGACGTAGGTGGAAGACATGCCCCGCCCTGAAGAGCATTAAGGTGATTCGATTGGTCCCCGGAGCGGCCAATCAGATTATCCACTCAGGATTCCTTGGCCTCTTCCTCTTGTCTTCGGTCCTGTTTATTCACCGAGGGGTGCCTTTGGCTTCATATATTGTTTAAATATTTTTAAAAAATAGCTATTCCGATTATTTATCATTTTCAAGCATTCTCATCAGTTAAATTTTCTTTATTTTTTTTTCTCAATCCGAGGCGTCTGAAAAGAAGATGGCCTCGAGATCTCCTTTTGTAAATACATTTTTAGAGTGCTACCAGTGGGTAGTTTCTCAACAAGTGATTTCACGCATTTATATTCTTTTGTTCACGTTTACTGAATGTATTTTTACTTGTAATACAGTTGTAAATATAAAAAAAAATATTTTTTTTATATATTACTGTCGATTTAGATCATGTATATTGCAATACTCAATAAACTGAAAAAGTCAGTTTGCCAAAATATTTCCGTAAAATTATATTTATGTATAGGAAGTGAAAACAAATTAGTTAGTGCACACTGCGCTGATATCATAAACAATATATAATACTAAATATAAGAAATTTAAAATGTGGTCATGTTTTCGTTTAAAATGGAAAAAAAATATCAAATAGAAAAAAAAAAGACCCGTCGAAAACTACATATCGGAAATTTGACACGATCGCAATGTTTTCATTGCCTAGTATATATAGGAAAGTAAATAATTGACTGAAATCCTAACTATACATGTTCCTTGATGATTAAAAGAAAAAAAAAAAACAATAAACAAAAATCACTTATAAATGTGTGTTGTTTACGCAGATGTAATTTTAAATCTGAAATACTGTCCGAGGCGTATGAAAAGAAGATGGCCTCGTGATCTACTTATGTAAATATATTATTAGAGTGCTACCAATGGGTAGTTTCTCAACAAGCGTTTTCATGTGATTGTATTATTACTGTGTGCACATTTCTTAGTTGTATTTTTTTATAATACATTTGTATATATCAATGAATAAAGATAAAAAAAAATCTGAAATAACATGAAAGTAATGAAACTGTTTTAAGATTTTGGAATCTGGGAGACTATCTTTTTTTAATCTTAGAATCTTACAATTACATACTTATAGTTTCTTTCTTTTTTTCATCATATTTTCTCCCTAATTAATTAATTATGTCCTATAATATTTTCATTCCCTTCCTTATCATGTATACCAATTTGAATCGATATTGATTATATGCTCCAATGTAAAGCAATTTTACTGTTTTATTATGGCATTGCTACTCCGTACAAGATGTAAATACAAGGTTAGCTTATCTTGAATGGTGAGGAAATGCTGTTTGATTACCCGTCGCTATCTGCAATGCAAACGGACTTAATGCGTGATGAAAGGATAACAACAGCCACGAACGGAGAGCCTCGGGGGACCAGCTCCTGTTTACACTCAACTGTTTAGCATCCACTCAGCTTATCCGAGGCGTCACATCTCAATGCTAACGTCTTACTTAAAGTTCTCTCAGTAGGAATGTATGTACACATATACATATACATAAACACAACATATAAAGTATATATTTACAAATGTTTAAGTAATATTTATGTTTTATGTAATTTCTAATTTCTCCATTGTTAAATGATGTGTATATATATATATATATAATATATATATATATAATATAATATATATATATATATAATATATATATATATATATATTATTAAGCTCAACAGGTATAGTCAATAAATGAACAATTATATTTTGGCGAGGTATATTGAATATAATTGTATTAAAGATTGCATGGCGTGTTCGGATTATTGAAGTTTAAATTTAAAATAATGAAAAAGTACACAAATTAACGAAAATATATGTATTATCAGTTGAATATAAACACATTGCAAACAGAAATAATTATTTCTGAAGACGATAATATTGCGTACGTTGAGTCTTTGATTTTGTTGCTACAGAATATGCTTGATCTGGCAAATTTCTAAGTATCAGGCTTTGGTGTTCAACGTTGTATCCATTCATCCATTTCAAGCAAGTATTAAAGGCCATTTTGGCGTTTTTATACCTTATCTATTGTGTTATCTATTAACAATAGCTGCTATTTCGGACTGAGAAAATACCTTGTTCTGTCTTATCAGATCAAGTGCCATCTTTATAAAGCACTATACAAACTGTATAGTACAAACATATGCTTCATAGGTGTGAAAGGATCATGGTCAGTTCTGAAGGAAAAGAGCTATATATCAGTTGGAAAGAAAGTTTTTGTAGCATGTATTTGGATCCATTAAGGGAAATAAAGGGAATCAGTTGAAGATACACCACAACAGGAAAACTCGGTTGAGATGAAGATAGAGATCGAAAGTGAGAGCTTTAATGGGGTGGGATTCACTGGAGTTTTTAAATTGTAAGCTATGTCAAATTTAGGAGGGTCGCTGAGATCTAATGACCTGGCATAGAAATGTAGTTAGGAACGATGGTAGGATGGATAGAGCCACTTTGACTCGGTATAATACTGCATCTTGAGATTCCGAAAATAAAAAGGTAGAGAACAATTCATTTGTCTTTTAAATTTTGTTTCAAATTTAAAAAATAAATCGGTGTACAGAAATTTTCCATTTAAATCAAAATTAATATAAAAGACGTATTCCATACATATTTTTTTAAAATTATCAAGCCAATCTTTATTGGCATTAAAATCAGCTTTGTCATACTTATTAAAAAGATATTAAAGAAAACTATGATTTTTCAGCTAATATATTCGCGTGAATTGGATAACATCTTTATTTCCACATGCGATAGCCAAATATATAGAGATTCTACAACTTCCGGATGATCACCTAGTTTTAATGTTTTCTGTTTAGAAGCACTATGATACGATTTCGACACTACCACCCGAAGCGATTTCAATAAAATATACTAAGAAACAGTTTCTTCGAATTATCGAAACCGTTCTGTTGTTAGAATTTCATCAAATTTTGGTTCATTTTAGTGTTTAAAAATTATGTTACACAAAAAATTGCCTATAAACACTTTTTTTTTTTTTACTTCAGGCATGAATTCATATTAATTAACTATTAAGGTCTTAAAACTGCGCCAAATATAGTAGTGTATTTATTCACTCAATCTCATGATCTTTTAATTATATACAAACGAGGAAAATATAGTGGGCTTACTACAAATAGTTGTTAAGTAATATTTTATAAAATCAAATCACGAAGTTCTCTGAATAGTTTTCTCTCAGTGAAATATCATTATGAACTTATTGAATAACTATATTTGATTTGTGTCACTTAGATGTACTTATGCATTATGCATCGATAAATCAAATAGAAATCCAAAAAACTTTAAAGTTCAGATCCATCAAAAAATGTATGTCTTAGTGATTTTCCACAGTAAACTGACCAATACTGTAAGTAAGGCACATTTATATCTTCACACAAAGTAATCTCTTAAAATTGGCGAGGAAAATCACTGAAATCTCCAATTATGAATCTATATTCCGGTGTAAATATGGAGATTTTATTATATGATAATCAACAAAGCAGTTATTTTTTATTTTAAGTTATTGTATTTTTTTCTATTGACACAGTATTATAATTTAAATGTAAATGTTTTCATTTGTGAATTATTTTTTTCTCGCCCGTTGTAAAAATTAGCGAGCTACATAAAATTGCCCGGTTGATTGTGTTTGTATTAAAGTTTAATGCTCGTTATTAAATTTACGTTCAACATATCGGGTCCTCGCAGTTTGGATTTCCCTCATAAAGTTTAAACTTCGTACATAAAAGGGTTCATATTTTACTGCTTTTTGGACGAGTTATTGTTGAAGGATTAGGAATAGGCGTTACTAAATTACGAACATATGAAGGTCGTAATTTTATGTAATTCGGCGCAGCCCTGCCTTGAAATAAGTTTTAAAAAAACTTCGTAAATTTACTATTTCTCAGATACTGCCCACCGCAGCGACTGCTGGCAGTTAAGCACTGCTTCAGTGGAATAAAAAGGAGCCACTGTTCGGCAGTATACTCGTGGGTATGACGTCATATCTAGACAGTTTCTTTCTGACCTCTCTGCTGAGAGCTGCAGAAGCTTTTGGCAGTAAGGCGGACGTTGTTATCAAATCCTGTAAGAGTTTTGATGATAACAGTCACGTTACTTCTTTTCATTTTTGGTCTGTTATCTACAATAATCAACCATTGTGATCGACCAAAAAATTCAAAAACTTAACCCCCACTCAAAATTTGAGGTTTCACGTTTCACGATGCGTAGAATTCGAAAATCGAATAAAAAATTGTTTGTCCGTCCGCCGTCCGCGCATTTTTTCCGAAACTACTGGACCGATTTTTATCTAATTTGGATATAAAATCAGAGGTCACCCGAGGATGATCCTCCTTCATCAACATTACCATCCGCCTTTTACTTTCAAAATGGCTGCCGAAACCTGCGTTGCTATTGACTGTAGCTCATAAACGAATGTACCGATTTCAATGAAACTTCGCTAAAGTCATTTTCTCGATGCCTTTTAAATTTATCTATATAACATACTTCAACGAAAAGAAGCTGGAAAAAAAGTTACGAGGGATGGTAAAATTAAATTCCGAATAACTCAAACAGTTTACACTTTTTTGTAGGTATTGTATGGTTTTTTAAAAGTTTACTAAATTTCCTAAAAAATAAAAATAAAAAAAATCGTTAAAATCGGACAATTAGGAGCAAAGATATGGTCTCCGGTTTTTTTTTTTTTTTGTTATATGTTCTACTCCAATGTTATATCCTTTGTTTGGTTTTTAAATTTTGAATGCGTTAATGAAGTAATGCTAGTTTTTTTTTTTGTTTTTTTTTTAAGCATATTACTAATGATTAAAAAAAAAGTTTAGTTCAATAATTGGAATTACCTTTTATTTATTTTTCTTTGTAATTAGGAAAGTAATGTTACTTTAGATGTATAATTGTTTGGAAATAACAAACCATTGTGAAATAATTTGCAGCGTTTTTTTTTTCATCAAGTGAAACGATATGAAATGAAATATTATTCAAAATTAAACAATACTATGAAGCAACTCATTTCTGTATAAACGCAGTTACAAAAGTAATTTATAGAGGAAAGCAATATAGATATATACAACTAATTTTAAATAAAT